GCTCTAAGAACAAGTTCAGCATCTCAGAAAGAATCTCTTTTAAGAGTGGATCAAGGTATGTGTCCTGCTCCTAATGATGTTTGAGTGGCATTGGCAAACAGTCTGTAAAGTGGGCTGTTTCTACAGTGCAAAATCTCCTCCCATCACCACCACCTCAGTAATGAATGTGTATCGGATGTACTGGTCAGAAATTTGCAGACATATCCACGGTTCATCCAAATGCAGAGGAAGCTGTTTGTTGCTTACCTATAGGGATGGGCACACAAGTGTCAGTGAGATACCATGTCCTTTCAGGAGGCTTCCTGTTGTGCAGGTTAATTGAATTGCTGGCTGTGACCTGCTCCTTACCAGACTGTAGCTGCCTGGCCTGTAGGGCTTCCCACAGCGCTGTCCTGCTGCAATGCACAAGCTGCACTGGATGTACTGCACTGTGTTTCAAAGTGTGATACTGAGTTTCTGTAGAGAAGACACCTGCTATAATGATAATCAAGATGACAGATTTAACAGCTGGCATGCCTCAAGCTCCTTCCTTTTGTCAGCTGTACAAGTTTGGCTTCTCCTGTCAAGGCAAGTTGTCCTCCAACTTCCACTGAAAATTTCATTCTAGTCTTGAAGCTCCTTTTTTGCTTTTATATATTTTAGAATTTATTTATTTTCTTTCAGATTTAGACTGTATATTCTTGTGCTCTAAGGGAATAGGAATGCTGTATAGTAGAGCTGGGAAATGTTTTGTAACTTTGGTTAGACAATCACAGTGGCTTTCAAGGTGCTCATTTGTCAAATGGGAAAAGGACTAGGCTAGACACTGGCATGTGCTACAACAAAAGATGTATTTGTTCCATCTAATCTTTCATTTGTACACAAAAAAAAGACTTGGCTTCAAGCTGTAGCAATGTTATTTAGTTTTTTATTCTTTTCTTTCTGGATGTAAAGCCTTCTACTTATATTTATTCTACTTCTATTTATTCAGTTTTTGGTCAGTTTCAGGAGCTGCTCTTGAACTGGGGGTAAATGAATGCAGTAGTTATTCTACAGCTATTCCTCTCCTCCCTCCCCTAGAATGAAGTCAGAGATAGGATAAGACTTACTCTTTGCCAAAATAAAAAGATAAATCTAGGAAAGCCAATTCAGCTGAGTTAACTGAATTCTGTCATGGCCTGCTATCCCTAGTATGTTATACACCTTTGTCTACCATAATCCCGCAGTCTCTGCATGAATGGTGCTCTTAAGGCTCAGTCTCACTCTCTCATAAATGAATTTCTGTGTGCTTTTATACATGTGAAAGCATTAAGTTTTGCAGTTTTGGGCCTCAGTGTAAAACTGACTAGGTTCGTTTTTCTTAATTTTTTAAATTTCTGCTTTGACCAATTGTTTATCCTTTCCAAAATAAAGATTTTCCACCTAAGGTCCAATAGCATAAGCTCTGACTTAAAAACCTAGAACTGCAGGAACAATCACTAAGCAGGGGGAAAGCCTGATCTGAAAGGGAACAGAAAGTCTGCGGCCACATCACTGTTTTGCTGTTCTCACTCCACTGGTCTAACAATTGCCCCCTATAGGGGGTATAGGAGTTACCTGATTTTTAGCAAAATCTGTAAGACATGGGGCAGAGGGTGTTTTCAAGCAAGCATCTGAAGCAGAGGTTTAGTACTGTGCAATTACCTTCCCTCAGGGCAGAAGCTGTTCATATCATTAACATGGCTAAAAGGGACTATTGCATGTGCCTTTCTCTTTGGAGTAGCAGGTTAGGAAATGTTTTTTCCCTTCCTCTACACACTGTAGGCTTGCCTACATCCTGGCCCTGGTCCCAGCTATTACTCATTTCCCAAGAGAGAAGGGGTATGTTATGCCTGAAAGATGATAGCCTGAATAAAGTTGGACCCCCTTGCACTGAATCTTGCAGCTGACTGCCCTTTATTAACCCAGCATTTGTCTTGGGAAGTCCTGGTAAGGTCATCAGTCTGGACTGTCACTAAACACAGACCTTGAGCAGAATCGCTTTTCAGGCCAGGAAGGGAAACTGAATTGTGTATTGAAGAGCTGAGCATGTGCAAGCAGAGGTTTGTATTAACCCTTACAGTATTGTCAGACTGAAATTTCTAGTGCTGCCTGCACTGATTTTTTTTTCCATCCAGCTGGACTGATGGCAGTTCAGGGGGAAAACATGAGTTCTAGCCTTTGCCAAACAGCCGCATATATACTTAATGTCTGGCAGTTGCCTCTGTGTGCACAGACATACTCACCTGTTCAGATGATTAAAGAAGAGTGTGAGTTCTTCCATGTCCACACTGTAGCAAGTACAGGGCATCTCTACATAATCTGCCTGATACCATCACTCAAGGCTGTCCCTTTGACTTCTTAGATGACTTATAATGGGAAAATTTAAATCAGAAAGAAGGACAGTACAGACAACTTGTTTTCTCTGCACAAATTGAGAGCAGTACAGAAGGAATTTTATTGTCTAAGTGTCAAAGGAAGCAGGAAGAAGTATCAACATGAGGGCCATGGGAGTGCAGTAAGAACTAAACCTAAATAAAAATTCTGCGTTGGCTACATAAGAACACAGAACCACACTGATTAATTACAAAAAGACACACGTGATACTGTTCTTAAAGAAAGAAAATTTCCATTTCTTAGTTCTGAGCTGTACCAGTGATAAGGATGTAAATGGTTTTGGAGCACCCTATCAATGCTAGAGTAGAATACTGATGTGCATGGAAGGGGACCACTCTGGTCCCACTAGCACCATCTCAACCCTGACCTGGAGGGAACTCTGCTCTGCAGAGATTATGGGGGATTCAGTAGCTTTCTGGGCCTAGGCTGAGTTGCTCTTGAGCAGGCAGGGCCAGGCACCACTGAAGGAGAGTGGTTGTGATACAAGTAAACACTTGCTCAGAAAACAGACAAAAATATTAAATTCCCTAAGGAGTTCAGCTTGGCTGTAGAGGGGCCATCTCCACCTTGCTCTGGGGTAGAGCAAACATCAAGCCAGAATAGCACTTGCTTTGTTAGGTAAGATTATAAATCCATAATGCAGGTCTTAATGTTGTCAGGACAACAGCGCAAGGCCACCAGAATATGTGGTGTTATTTCAGCCAGTCTCGCACACATAGTACACATGGGACACAGGACACCTCCGGTTTATATCTAGTGTCTGATCATCAGACCATTTGAAATACTTCACTTAGAAGAAGCAAGTGGCTAAAGCAACCACCCGAAGTGATTAGCCACAGCCACTAGAGTAAGGTCAAATCAATCTAATCCAGACTCTTGCCCTTTGGCAACAGGAGCATTCTTCTGTTCATTATGGTTTCTAAACTCTGAAATTTTAAGGACAGTCATATTTCAGTCTATACAATACCACATATGAGCCTACCTTAAGGGGCAGGCACCTGATTAAGGCTTTCACCTGAAATACTTAAAAAGAATTCATCACGTTAAACAGATCTGATAACAGCAATACTATATGAACAGAAACTATGTTTCAACCACAGTTCTGGAGTAATTTATTCTATGTACTGAGCCATAGGGTGGCACACAGGTAAAATAGTCAACTGAAAAAAACCACTCCACTCCCAGCTAAAACACTTGCTAACATACCTTAAGTTCCTAAAGACTCCTTTAGCTTATATCAGAATTAAAAAAAAGGCTAGTGTGTCACAGATTGATGGACACCCAACCCCGCTCTTTAATATACAAAGTTTATATCAGTGACACTGTAGCAGAAAGTTTTGCTCACTAATCCATCCATCCATTAAAAAAATTGCAGTTGGCCAAGGTACCAAGGTACCAGGGACTTGTGTCCATGAAAGTAAAAAGAGGAATTCCTATTTCAAAGTGTGCATTACATTTAAAATAGTTTTGCAAATAATAGGTAATTAGTAAGTAATTCAGCATCTGTTGAAGTCTTTCAAAGCTCACCTAGACTTTACATACAATGTAGGCAGTGTCTATCCATTCCATAGTGTACGGACACAGTTCCCTTCCACAGAATTCAAGGACTTGTACTGCAGAACAGACATCAGGTGAGACCTACTGAAAAGTGAAATTAACACCACAGAGCTACATGAACAACCCTATAAATATTTAACATTAAATAATTAATAGGACACCTCAAGATTAATCTTTCCTGTTCTGCAGGCACTAAGGAGTACGAGTTACAGTCTAGTTCCTTATTTTCATTCCTTCTCTGTAGCTCTAAAGACTGCAGGAGTGAAAAAGACTCTCATCACCAGCCTTTTTTTCCTTAAGGTTAGAGGCAGACAGACCAGAAGTCAGAGCAAGTGGATGAGGGAGGAAAGAAGTAGAAGAGCTAAAGTTTGTCTTGCATTGTATCCTCAGTTTTCTTATGGCATAAAGCTGGATTGCACTAATCCTCTCTGTCATGGAAGGATGCTGTCTTGTTTGTTTGGAAAGAAGCAAAGCTTTGTATTGAAGTGATTTATCTTATTACAAAGAGAGGGGGAGCAAGAGAAAAAAGGGTAGAAAAAAGTTTCTTGCACCATCTGCTAAACTGGGGATACAGAAACAGTAAAGAGCAGAAATTCTACCTCACAGAGAAACACAGTAGAAGGCTTGAAATAGTAACCCTAGAAGAGGGCATTTATCTGCTCCAATGTCCATCTTGAGCAGTTACCAACATTGGATACATGCAAAGAATTAAATGCCTCCTAACATATATAATTGTGCAATTAAATTTGAAAGAGGATGTTCTTGTCTGGCTGCAGCTGAGGATTAAGAGACCTTGAATGCTACCTGTCATTCATTTCTTAAACATCCACTTCCTTTGGTTTTCTAAACTATTGGCCTCAGTTACATCCTGCAGGAAAGCGCTTAATTACAAAGTCAAACAAAGCATTTTGTTTTAAGCCATTCTGCCCTGGTGATCTAATACTGCTGAGCATCCCTGTTGTCCTGCTCTCAAGAAAGCATCATTAACTTGCAGCTGACCCCTCACTTGCCTCATTTGTTTTGAATTCTTCCTCCCCCCACATTCCTTTCCATCTAAAAAGGCTCAAGTCTGTCCACCTATTGAATGTTCTCTGTATGAAGCTGCTAATTATTCTCAAGAGCTTTCCAGTTATTTTGAATTAACTGATCAATCAACTGACCAAAGTCATGGTGAGGGTGCATCCTAGTCATATTTTTTTTTTTTAATCCCGTATTTCATCCACTTTAATAAAACCTGACATTCAGTTTCCCTTGCTGAACGCTACTTCTGTTTATCATATGATTCACAGTGGCATCTGAACTTTCAGTCCTCTGCATAACAAACATTATGCAAAGGCAGTTTGTGGCTTCCAAGTGGCCCATATTATTTACAGGTAACTGTTACCTTTACAGCTAACATCATCGTTAGCATCCATACACTAAATGTTAATTTACAGCCACACAGAAATGAGCAGAGGACACATTCAAAAGGGTGCTTGGCTTGCTACTGCTGTTAATTTCAATTGTTGCATGTAGCTGCAGTGCAAGGGAACGGACAGGCGTCGCACTGCACTGTGGAAACTGGCATCTTATCCTGGATTAATCTTCTCTTGGCTCAGCAGCAAGTTCTGCCACCTTCTTGTGGTTTGTCCTCCTGGCTGTACAGCATAGCGAAAAACAGACTGTGGTGGTACAGATAGACCTTGCAAGTTACATCACAGTTAAAGATGTACAATTAGGAACCTGTAAGGCCTGAGTTAAGTTGCTTGTGGGTGGTGCTTCGAGGATTAACACTGCTTTAACTAGACAGAAGAGCTGATTAAGACGGGTTAAGAACCCGTTCTCTGCCACCAAAATAGCTCTGCTTATTTCAGGATGTGGCACAGCAAAACTGCAACAAAAAGCTGGTAGAGCTAAACTCCATTATGTTTCTAACAAGTTCACAGGAAAGAATAAGCCTGGTTCTAACAAAATTAAATATGCAATATTTCAGAAAGTTTAGCTCCTTGTCAGTGCTGTGATAAAACAAGACACTTTCTCTCAAGGATACTCCCGCTACCAAGCTCAGCTCTTGCATCCCCTAGATCCATTCATCTAAGTCACTTCAAGACCATGCTGTTCTGACTTCTGGAAACCCAACTGTTCCCAGGCTTTAGGCCTCAAAGAGAGGTCTGACAACACTCCAGATTTCTGACAAGCATTACATTACTTAATCAGTAGTACAACACTCCCCCAAAAGAAGTGTAGGAAGAGTGAAAGCTGTAAGTGGTAGCAAGGCCCAGGCCAGCCCTTTGGCAAAGGTTAGCATAAGTGGTGCTGTTACATATTGCAGTTATCCAAAGAGCCAGAACACAAGCAAAGCTCTGGCACTGGGGTGGGGAAATGCCTTCAGGAGGCTCCAGGCTGAGATGTCAGGAAAGCAACTACAATTTCCTTGAGCAGGGCTCCTTGCAAACAGGTGTATGTAACTCTAGCCCTAATACTTACAGGGAGGAAGGAGCAAGACCCTTGTGGAAAGGAAAAAATGCTTGTAAAACCTGTTCACATCATTACATTCTTCTTTAACTTTTTACTCTTAAAACTCATATCTCAGTGACTGAAGTGCCTTCCACAAGCCTTCACAGTAGCACTTACTAGAAGTAATAGACAGAAGGCTGATGAAGAGATGACTCAAAGTTCAGGGTTCCCATCAGCCCCTGCCTACCCTGTCTCCATTGCTGGGACAATTGAGGTCTCTGTGCCTGTTTTCATATGGTAATGGCATAGGCATATCCTGACCCACTCAACCACAAAAGGACTTACAGCAACAGTTCACCAGCACTGCAGTGGGCAAAGAGGTTCATCATCCCACTGTCTACTCCCTCAGAGACAATGAAATGCTTTGAAATAGGCGGGACTAAACATACAGGATATGTTTTTGCTGGATAAGAGGACTTCCTATGATCAATAAATTGGGCTGAGCAAATTAAGACCTGTCTCACATGAGAAATGATAAACAAAGTGTTCATAATGACAAAACCAGGAGTTTTTGCACAAGATTTGGGGGCCATCCCATTCCAGCAGCACTTCTCCCTCAGCCCTGTAGGCCTTCCGTGGATTGAAGACTTCTGTGCAGACAGGGAAGAAGTACTGTTGACAAGACGCTTCATCTACTTGCTGTAAAGGCAAAAAAGTTGATAGCAAGTCTGCTGACCCCACTCACTCCATATTCTTCCTGAAGCAAATTCCCACCAATGTACAGAACATTTTTTTTTCCTTTTTTTTTTTTTTAAAAATACTTAGTGAATTAAGATGGATACCTCTCCCAGAAACAGACAGGTGAATCCTCTGGGACCCATGGGATCCAGCTCTGGGACTGGCCCAGTAGTAAGTACCTGGGAAAATCAGCACTCTTTTGCTCCTGTTCCCATGTTCCCTTTGTCAGAATCACTGCAGGTGGATCCAGGTCCCAACTGTGACCAGCAAGAAGTCTATGGAGCTAGGCACACAAGGCACAGCTCTCCTCACACCCGGATCTGGTACCCATTGAGGTCTGGCATGGCTTTGGAATCGGCAGGCTTCTTCTCACCAGACGGCCTGTGAGCAAAGAGGGTAACAACTCTTCAGAAACTGTTTTCAGTCAGGAGATGCTGCACATAGAGATGGCAGCAGAGGAAAAGGTATACAGGAAAGCTTTAGACTGGTCCTGCACTACTGAGGGCAGGATCTTCTGCAACGTCCAGTAATTCTCCCAACAACCTCAACAGAAGAGAACGCAAGTTAGGAAGAGTAGGAAGTCCACTCTGGAACCCCAGGTTAGTTTCAGGAAAACAATCTTACTGACAGCAGTGTAATTTTCGGATCTCTTTGAGGCACAGGTCTGTGAGACACCAGAGCTCAGACCCATGCATAAGGTTAAATGTCAGCTACCAAAAAAATCACTGTTTGAGCTGCTTTCCTCCTCCCTGCCAAAACAAACAAATAAACAGAAAACCAACTGTCCCCTCAACTCCCTAAGCAATGATAAACTCACAAAGGCACAGACTAGGGAAGAATGCTACTGCAGGTCAGAGAAGTATCGCCTGTTCTAAAGAAACCCAGTAGGACATCAGAAGGATCCAAAACCAAATAACAAGGTGGAGACTGTGAGTAAAACAGAGGTGCTCTAAACAGGTCTCCTGCTAAGCAGCCCCACTCACCGTCGGTCCCCACGGCTGTTGCGTCGATGGGGGCTGGCCTGACCTCTTTGTGGGGAGGAGACATCTTTCTTTCTGTCCTTAGTGGGAGATGGTGGTCCAGTTCCTTTCCCAATCTGCCAGGAAAATTAAAAAGCAACAGGAGCAGAAACCCAATATGAGTAATAACAGAAAACACAAAAAATAACAATGATTTATTACATGGGAATAAAAGACAAAAAGGCAAAGCAAGCATATCAAAAATGCAAAAACCAGAAAAAAAAGTTACAGTGACAGCTATGGCTCCAAGGACCGTATACAGTCCAAGCTAATCTCAACTGCAGCACTGCATGAGCATCTATTAGGGGACCAGCCTGTATACAAAGGGAAAGAGGCTGCAGCTTCCAATTCACGCTCTACTCCACCATCATTTAGGAGAACTTCCTGTTGCTTCATTCCCCCAGAACACCAGCAGCCAAGCAAGACAGTGGATGCAGCAGCAAACTACTCCATCCTTGCCGCTTACCTTCAGCCTCATATCACGGGCATGTCTCTCAAGCTCTTTGCGAAAGTCTTCCCTGGTTAGCTTGTCTAGATCCAGGACGGAGCGCTTCCACTCAATCTGCTCCACACTGTGTGGGTCATGGGACACACAGTGGCCCAGCTTCACCTTTTTGAGCGTGTGCCAGCAGCGGCGATATGCCTCCTCGAAGTCAAAGATGAGTTCGCTCAGTGTGCGGAAGACGGGTGCTTTGTACATAAGCTCCTCGCGTCGGCTGATGCCCAGTGCCCCATAGCGGCCTCCAAAGTTCACCCCCAGCACAATGTGTCGGAAGTAGTTCCCTGAGAAGTGGGTTTTGAAGCTGATGGGGAAACGGTCCAGTGTGGTCATGTTGTTGGTGAGGTAACTGACAGCAGCCACTATTCAGGAAACAACTGGTGATACCAGTTTCTTGACAAGATACTTCCTCCCTACTCCAGACCCTCCCAGCCTGCTCAGCAGACTCACTATTGATTCAGGCATCACACAGGCAGGATTTGTTCTCCAGACCCAGGGTCCAGCTCATTGCAGGCTGCCCTACTTTCATCTAGGTCACAGGGAAAACAGACTTGGCCTCTTCAAGGAGACAGTCAACAAAGGGAAGTTAATTTCGAGGCAGTTTTGTGATGCAGAAGTTGCAATGCTAGCACCTCAAGTTTACTGTATTCCATAGTTCCCAAACTGTTAACACTGTGGCATTATTCCTCAGTTTGTTTTAATCTGTTTCACTAGCTACTGTTTCACTCACCTTTAGGACAAAAACTACCCTTCTGAACCATTCACTCACCACCTCTGCCCTTCCAGCTGGTTTTACCAATGTGCACGAAGAACCTATAGCTTGAGTGCCAAAAACTAAACATGGAAGACAGCTAGGAAAGATGTGTACTTAAAGACAACATGTCCAGAACTAATAAAGGTATTGCCTAAGCTAATAAGTGACATATGCCATAATTGGAAGCTAGGGAGGATTCCTAACTTAATTGCTTGGATTTGGACTTTATTGGTAGTTTTGTGGCAGAACTGGGGAGGAAAAAAGGGAGGAATGTGGGGCTTGATGACAATATTATAAACAGCCTCAAAGCATCGTAAGAGAGAGAGCAGAGGTGAAAACACAAGGATGGGCAGACACGCACAACTTCAAGAGGAAAGGATACATTCCCAGGATCACAGCTTCCAGGCATTTTATTGGCAGGGCCTCTTTGGTCATTTCTTTGGCCAGGTCCATCAGCCTGCAAAGTGGGACAAGGGAAAGACAAGGACAATAAGAGGACTGGAGTTATGAAAGTATGGCCAGTTCAGCCTTTTTTCACTATACACATAAGGTAAGGTAGGTTTCCAGGAGAGGGTGGCCCACTGACTACAGGGAACAGAACAAAGTATCTTCTCGAGGAAGACATTAAATCCATACCAGCTCTCTGCCACATGCTGTTGCTGCTTACAAGGAACTCCCTTCAGTGAGTTACAGCAAAGCTGCCTACTAGGCCAACCTCTGTTCTCAGAGAGAACACAGTACATGGCTCAGCAAGTTCTGGATGGACACCAATGTGACAACAAGTAAAACCCTCAAAGGACCAAGACCCAGCAGCGTTAGGCTCACAAGGCCCAAGGACAACGAAGTCTACTTCTCTGGCATCAACCCTAGTCTCTGTTCAACAAGTACCATGAAGGAGACGTTGCACTGATTACAAAACAAGGCATTTGGAATCACATAAGTCTATGGACTAGACCAATAGTAAAAAGCCAGTCTTGGGAGACCCATAATACGCTGTTCAAGAGAGTCAATGAACATCAGGTGCTTATCTTGAGGAACTTATGGGGCACATCTCTTCCCAAAATCTGCAATGAGGAGAATTCCCATTTCTCATTCAAAGTATGAGCCACCAAAAGCTTAGTGAGCCTAGATTCTGCAAAGGGACTCACAGGAGATATGAAGTTAGACTTGTAAAGATACTTGGCTTTTACAAAATTTGTTTAGAGCAGGACCTAATTTCAGAATCCATCAGAAGTTCATATAGTTACATTCCAATTAGAAGCAGGCAGAATCTGCACATCTTTGCAGCACATTTTTGTGATTTTACTGGATTTACTGATTCATGACAAAAAACCCACTCTACTCTTGTTCTTGAGAAAGATGAGACACAGCTCTGCCCAGCTATGCCCCAGGCAACAGACAGTAAAGTCATCTAAAGTAGGATGGAGCTGCAGTACTGAAAGCCCTGAGCGCCACTAGACCTTGGGCAGGGGATGGAGAAAAAGCAGTGCTTACAGCAGGGCTCCAACAACAAAGAAAGGATAAAATGCTGTAGAGGCTGCTGTAGACACTTACCCAGTCAGAGGTCTGCTCTTCTTAATCTCAAAGAATTGTGTCCCAGTGTGATTGTACCTGGAGGCAAGAAGTTAAGGGCTTGGCAGCTTGGAAAGTAGAATTTGAAGAAAACTTGTCTGAAGAACTTTCATGTTATTTACCATTCTCACAGCAAAGTCATGATTCCACAAGTATAATAGCAACGCAAGAAAATCCTCACCTCCCTCTCCTGCATTTCTCCCATCCTTACTTCCACTGTATTTCCTTCTTGTCAATTCTTCTCTTTCTCATACTCACACACAGGTTTCCACTCCATTTCCCGAAGGTCCATACTGACAGTACATACTCTGCTCATCTTTTCAGTTACCAGGGCAGAATAGAGTTTGACAAATCTCTTCCTGCTCTGATCTGCACAGAGCAATGAAACATTCATGGCACCAAATTCTAAGACTGACTGGGACCCAATCCAGAGCACAACCACCCTGGATGGTGTCAAAGGTCTGCCTTCTTACCTTGAATTAGAGCTGAAGCCAGAGCTAGATCTGTATCTCATCAGTGAGATTAGACTGTGTTTCCATGGCACATACCTGGTCTTGAGCACAACAGGGACAGAGAAATTTCATTCCCAGAACACAGTCACACAGGCAGCTCTGCATATAAAGGAGTAGGATACCACAGATGCACAAAAGCAGGGTGGCTGACCGTCATTTAGACAGCTACAGAGAAGAGTGAGGGAGTACAGTGACCTGAGAGGGTTTTCTCAACACCACAGCTCACCCATGTCCATCTGACACCCGGCTGTCAGGATCTCAGATATGTGTTTTTAACAAAATGCCACTGTAAAGGTGCTGACCTAGAAGAGTGGGTAGTGGGGAAAGGCCCTTGACAACATGCCCATTTATTACATGGAGTGAACAGAATCAAAAGGTAACTTAGGCAAAGAAGAAAAGAAACAGAGCAGCAAAACAAAAAAATATCCCAAGTCCAGCTTCCTGTTTTCAAGGAGCAAGTTTCAGTTCTCCTCCAGCTACAACAGAAGGCACTTTTCTGTTCTTCAGAAGAAAAGAAAGTCCCCTTGGTCCCTTTTCCTGGGTTATCACAGCAGTGACTAAGGTAACAGCAAAGGATACTGAAGCTCCCTGATGTAGCGCTGTACAGCTTCCAGGCGCTCAGGGATGGGGGTGGACGGCTGGAACACAGGCACACTTGGTATGGGAATCTGAAATGAGGAGCAGAACATAAATCACTGCTTCCAAACCTCTCCAGCTTCCTGCTGAACTCAGTCACACACAGCTATAGGGAGCACGTTTCTCTGAAAACAGACCCTTTTTGCTGCCCAAAGTGACCACACCAGAAACATTCCTCTGTTTCCACACTGGTAACTGGGAAGGGATTCAGAATGAAGCACTACTACACAGCTGCAGGAGAAACTATGTGAAAAGGTCCTGCATTTATGCAACATTGGAAGAATTAGAATTAACTGACAAGGCAAGATGCAAGACAGGAAAGCTATCACCTGAGGGATCTCATTAGAGTATTGAAACCAGAAGGCACAAAACAAAAATAAGAGAAGGAGAGAGAAAGGCAGAAATGGAGAATGAGTTTCCCTAAAGCCACAAGAGGGTGGAACAGTCCTGTAAAAAAGGGCATGAAGGTCCCTCACTGCCTCCTGGCATCTCAGGTGAGTCAGCACTTACTTGGACAGAGACTTGACAGCATAACCCCCTGCCCTGCACTGTCTGGTATTTCATACTACATGGTCAGAGAATGACTTCTGGAAGTTCACCATTTAGACTGCTGCCCCATTCTGAGGCCTCAGCCTTATGGGTCCAGTCAGATTTTCCTCACCATTTGCTCCAGGGAGGATAACTTGCAGTCTTGTCAGCAGCTGAGAAAATGTGTCTAAGGAAAAAGTAAGGTCCTGGCCACAGGACAAATATAAAGGAGAAGACACAAATTTGGGATGACTGACAGACTTGGAGAAACAGCCCAGTATTTTCTCTCTGAAGGATAGTTCATGCCTTGCATGCACCTCTCTGATACCAGACTGCATCTTTTCTCAGCAGCTTGGCTTTTAACATTTCAGTTCCTCCTCAGACTTCCTCCAGAGCTCAGCTATCCACAGCTATGAAAGAGTGAGTCAGAGCCAGTTCTTCTCTTGGGCCTTCCACTCTGCTGTGCACAACTGCCTCTGCTGTGCACGGTTTTGTAGCCAGTGGCACTGCTTAGTGCACCCTTCATGTCTATTTCTGTGGCCACTTATTCCCATATACCTCATTCTGCCCTGGGTTGGCACAACTGACTGGTGAACCAGGTCAGGCACCTTAAGCAGCTGAAAACTGAGCCAGCAAGCATGGGTAGTTTTCAGTCAGATCAGCTCCTTGTCCTGGCTTGCCACATGGTTGAAACTCTCCTTGTGCCCCCCCCTCCCATCCCCAGTACAAGGACAAGAGACCACTTAAATTTGAGAGACAGGCTGTTGCTGCCTCTCCTAATCAAGCAGAGGCACCGGCTGCCTCACTTGCAGAAGGCAGCACAGGAATGGTGGGAGCAGATGTGAAACTGAGTTTGTTCAACTGCAGCAGGAGCAGGGAAGGCTCCAGAGAGCAGCACAGGAATGAAGCCATCTCTGGAACCGCACAAGCTGAGTCAGTTTGGATGCTGTGTGCTGACATACTGAGTCATAGGAAATAATTTCCAGGCAGAAACAATAAAGGAGGTAGCAACCAAGGCAGGCGGACTATTTAATTTTGTTTCATTTCTTCTGCACGGAGACTTTCATGCTTTTGAGTGGAGACAGATAGATTGAGTACATGTTGACAGCACAGACTGTAACTGCAGTAGTTACTGGGTAGTTACTCCTCCCTTACTACTATAGACCCCCAGATCTCCTTTTCCTCAAAGGACTGTGTAACACTGAGACAGCGCAGTGGCAACCAGTTCAGGAGGGGACTAGTTAATGCAGAAGAGCCTCCTGCACCTCAAGTAATTAAACTGATGAAAGTACACTGTGCTCTCTCTCTCAGATCTGGGCCTGCAGCCCAGACTGGGCTACAGTTTCTTTTGCATCAGGTCTATAGCATTTTAATGGGGCAACAGAAGCAGGAGAGGAATAAGGTTCCTAATCTCTCTATCCCACACTGACAGGATGAGAGACCCTTACACTTTTTTCCTACCCAGCATCATCCACTGCACATCTCAGAAGGGCTATAAATATTAGGCAATTTTCATAATCTCCAGAAAGCAGAGAGGAATTTATTTGTAGCAGAAAATATAGGAAATCAGATCTATTTTGATTTCCTGTTGGTTATTCTGAAAGCTGGAGAGAGAGCTAGAAAGAGAGCCCAGATTTCCCAGAGTATATAACCTCTGCCAGACTTAGCAGACTGAATGAACGCATCCTTGGTTCCTCATCATTTGTGTGGAGGGGTTGCATCACCCCACTCCCAGATTCATGCACCCCAGTGGGCTGGCTATATGCATGGGATTGGGACCCTGCTGTTAGAAAGGGCATCCTGAGAACAACAGAAATTTTCATGTAGTTAGTGGGCCATGCTGTACATGAGAAAAGGCAGATAGGAGAAAGGCACAAAGCTCCACCCTTATCCATATCACAGAGGTGCTTTTTTGGCCAGCCTAGTTTAGCAACAGTTTCTTTTATGGCACTTATGTGTATCCAAGCTCCTCCCTTACTCTTCCTTCTGGAAACAACAACATGGGAGCAATACCAATCTTGGTTGATAGCCTAAAAAAAAGAAAACATTTTTTTCCATCTCTCTCTGTATAAATACATTAGATGCAACTCTTCCTGGCTTTGCTCTCATAATCACCTCATTTAAAATCCATCATTTCTTAATGAGGCAAGCACACATCACTTTGTATTTCCAATGTGCTCCCATCTGATGGTACCAGCAGCTCCAAGCAAAGCAATACCCCACCCTGTTGCTAGAAAAAAGACAACCAAGGAGGGTGGCACTCTCAAGCCTAGCATGCATGGCCAATCAGCTATGCCCTGCCACTGTGGCACAACTCACTAGATGCCGACTCACCCCAAATCTGCTGGAAGGAAATGGAGATTAGAGGAGATCTCTGACTCTGGCTCACCCCAGTGAGAGACAGCCCCTGAAGCTTGTCAGTGAACATATTTATAAAGTCTGATCACAGTCTCCTGCAGTCATCATTTTAGAGTATTTTAGTTTATAGAGAATTCTTTTGAGAGTTACTTCCCCCAACACACAATGCTGGCTACCATTCAAGGCCAAAATTTTGGAGTAGGTGAATCACTGTCCCATTCCCAACACCTAAAAAGGACTATTTGCTCTCTAGCACATGGAGAGCACCCAGCTTTTCAAAGGAGCTAGCCTTGCAGAGTACACCCATTGCCCTAATTCTCATTCAGCCATTCAAAGAAATTTGATGGCATGGAGACAGGTGGTGATGAGCAGCCTTCAAAGATAAAAATACATCCCTAGAGTGGAGAAAGAGCTGGAGAAACAGAGCTCACCCATCTTTGTGGTTTCCTGCATCCTAGTATCCTCTCAGCTGCATGCCTGGGGAGCTTGGGAATGAGATTTCAGATGGTGGAGCACTGAGTTTATAGATTTGTTTCCCAGAGGTGCTAGCAGATGAAAAAAAACCCCAAACCTCAAAAACCAACAACCCCCAAAACAAAACAGCCTAATTTCACCCATTATTGCAAGAGCTCATTCCACTTGTGCCCTCTAACTGTAACCCTTTGGCACCAAGACTACAAAGTGAGAACAGTGGAAGTTCTTCACATAAGACCAAAACCAGAGGCAGCACTGTATTTCCCTCCCCTCATGCACCGTATTCCTGTTTGTTAACTTCTTTCTTCCATTTTACCCCCAGCTCTCCTGGCAAAATCAGCCCTTATGGTTACGAAATTAAGTAGTGTGTGTTCTGACTGAAACACGTTTTCAGTCTTTACCTAGGCTCAGACAAAGTCAGAGGAAAGGAAGGAAATCTGAAAAGGAAGGAAAAGTCTAGTGGGGTTAGAATAGGGACTGTAATCAGGACTCAGGATTTGTTCCGGTTGCTGCCACAGATGCCTATAACTCTTCACTGCACAAAGGATGTTGCATCACATGCTTCTCCAGAGTTCCTCATGGAAAGCAGTATGAATTGCCTGTGCACTATATAATAGCATGTTCTTCCATACTTCAAATTACCTTCCCAAGAAACTAAGTCTTTGCTAAAAAAGCCTGAGCCAAAAAAACTTTATCTTTTAGTATCTGAATTTCCCCTATTAGAGTGATGGGAATATTCTCATAACCAGTGGAGTGACACACTAAATGTTTGCAGTCCCTTTTGTTCACAGGATGCCAATGAAAGCGGGAGATTTTTCTCAGGCTAAGGTTCAACATAGATAGCAACAATTACAAGAATTCACATGCAAATGTTTCAGTATGGCACAAGGTTATGTGAAATAGTCAGCGGTTTCTCTTTTTGCACAATTCTCTACAGCAAGGCCAAGAACGTGCTTGGAAATCACATCTGACCCTACACCACCAATACGTTCTGCAAGCATTCGAGAACTCCTCTTAAAACTCCTGGCATCAAGAGTCTCTGTTTGTCAGACACAGCTCTGTTCGAAAATGTCTTTTGGTGTGGGAGACTGTACTGAAATTGAATTTCTTCAGGTTCAAAGACTCACCTCTGTCTGTCTCACCCCCAAATATTAGGACTCTTCTAAATCTTATTCTCCTCATCTTTTCGTCATTTATCCAGTCTTTCTGTTTAGCCATTGCCCATCTCCACCCCCAGGCTGCTCGCACATCAGCCACCTGAAGTCTGTTTTCCAACAAGGCCGCAGAGGAAGGGGGTGCTGCTGGTGCACCGATAGGGCAGAGCCCCGCAGACACCCTCTGGCGCTCCGAGTTAGTGGCTTTGCTTCCCGCAAGAGCACTCCGGGGGCCCTTTTGCCGAAGGACCGCTCCCGAGCTGGGGAGCCCGGTCCCTAAGGCGGGCAGGCGGACGCCCCCTCCCGTGCCGCCGTTTCCCCCCTTCCCTTCGCGCGCCCTGCGGCAGACGGTCCGCCCCGGGCGGGACCCCGCGCCGCACCAGCCCCGCACAGGGGGGGTCTCACCTTGGGCAGGTCGGCGGCGCCCCGGATCCTCTGCGCCACCCGCTCCCCCTCGGGGTGGATCCTGCCCACATGCCGCCACATCCGCTCCCAGGTGGGCTCGTCCACGGGCAGCCCGCCGCGGTTGACGAAGAAGGGGACGCCGCCGTCGCGGAGATCCTCCTCGCCCTCCTCCTCCTGCTGCTCCTCGTCCCGCGGCGCCGCCGCCTCGCCGGACGGGGGCTGCCTGGCGGCGGCCGCGGCCCCACCGCCCCCCGGCATCGGCATCGCCGCCGCCCGCGCTCAGCGCCCGCCGCCCGCCGCGGGGCCGCCGGGGGCCGCGCCCCGCATGGCCGGCGCTCCGGGCACAGGGCGTCACCGCCCCCGCCTCGCCCCCGGAGATATCAGAGCGAAGGCTTCGCGGGTAGAAGGAGAGAAAAAGCCGGGCGGGGCGGTGCCGGGTGCCGCATCAGGCCGCCGCGGCGGCGGGGGAGGCGGCGGCGGGGGAGGCGCCGGCGGCCCGAGCGCCCGCGGCAGTGACGGCGGGCACCGCGCGGGGCGGGCCTGCCGCCGGGGCGCCCCCGCCGCGCCGCCTCCCGGGCGCTGCGCGGGGCGGGCGGGCACAGCCACGTCCCGGGTGGGGGCTGCATGCGGGGTAACAAAGCCCCGCGCGGGGCGGGGCGGGGCGCGCTGGGCGGGGCTGGGCGTCGCTCCCCTCCGCCCCGCTCCGCCCCGGGCCGGGCGGCGCCGGGTGCCCGCCGCTGTACCGCAGCCGGGCTGCCGCTGACGGGTGGCGGGTGGCGGTGATGCTGCCCGCGGGCGATAAGCAGATGAGGGCGATAAGGGAGCCGCCTGTGGCCAGGCGATAAGGGGGCGGGGCGGGAGGGCGGGAGCGGGTCCGGGGGGGAGGCTGGGGCGGGGCCATGAAGCGACGGCTTAAGGGTGGCCGTGAGGGGCAGAGGTCATTCACTGAGCGCTGCTCGCCGGGGGTCTGTGGTCAGGGTGTGGGGGGGTAAAGGACGGTCGGGCTGGGCTGGGCGGGGCGGCCGGAGGAGTCCTGGAGGTGGTCCCGCTGGACGGTAAAGTACCGCGGGGAGCCAGGGGCAGGTTTCCGTGTTAAGGCAGCTTTGAGGAACGGGACAGCTGGAATGAAATTGCCAGGTCGGAAGCAGTGAGGGGTGGTGAGGGTATTGGGATGTTCCTGTGGCACAAAGCGATGGTGAAGGATGCACTTCTCCCTAGGGGGAACCGTGCTGCTGATATCGGGGTGTGCCACGTGTAGAGTGTCCCTCCCAAGGGAGGGACCGAGCAGGGCATTTCTGCCTGGGAAGAGATAAAATGCACTATCCCTAAGGTCTGGAGGTGCACTAGAAGTTAAAGATCGAGTGTTTTGCTCTGGCTTCATCGCCTGGTTCTGTTCTCTTGAAGTGCTGAGAAGCACGAACTCTGATGGGAGGTTCTCCACATGATGCAGGAGATTTGTATACCTGTCCTCCAGTGTGTACCTGGTACAATGGTTGTGTCCTCATCTGTAAGAGCCAGGCTATGTCTTGCCATGGACAAGACTGCTGACTATATTTTCTCACTACCCTGTGAGTCTATTTTGAAAGCTCTGGCATAAAAGTGTTCTGTAACTTAAGCACCAAGTACAAGAAATGTGTACAAATTACCAGGTCAGCTGCCGAGGAACCTTCTGAAGGGCATCTTGAAATACTTGCTTTTAGAGCTCCAAACAAAGGGTCATGGGAAATGAGGGGAAATACGTCCCGGTTGCCATGGGATTTGATGTGTCCTGGGAACTGGGTATAACCTTTACAGAGCCTGGTAGAGGATTTCAGAGAGAAATGCTGCTTCTCCTGTAGTGCTCTGTGTGCCGTTCTTCACAAGAGATCATTTCTGAAGGCAAAATGCTTGAATGCAGTATTTCTGTCAGGCTCAACATTGCCCCAAATGCTGAAAGGTTGATTTCCTTTAGGAAAAGTAAGCTAAATGTGTATCCCTGCTTCTTCCTTCTCTCTTCGAAACTAATCACCTGCATCATTTCATGCAGCCTACGTTAACTTCTGCAATACTCAAACATATATGTCTCTGAATAAGGATTTTCTCTTCAATGGGGACCTTAAGCACTGCTGATTTATCACCTCAGTAAGATTTTTACAGTTTTTATTGCTTTTGCCTTTTACCTGTGTGCAAGTGGTGGTTGGTAGAAGTTGACTCCTTATATCTAAAGAGGCAGCAAAACCTGGGTCAGGAATAAATCTACATCCTCTGAATGGATGCATTTTGTAAGAATGGTTCATAAGCTCCCATGTCCTTGATCCCTTCAGCCCCAGTGGTCCTCAGTTCCTCTACAAACATGGGACTGGAAGGGTACCAGTCGTGCAATGGCACAGGCATAATGGGGGACATCATCTGCATTGTGGTTGAGTGGCAGGTGCGTTTCCAGTAACAGCACTGGGGAAAGGACAGGGTGCAAAGATTTTAAATGCTGCTTTTAGAGCCGTATTGCCTCCCCTGGCTAAAACTAGGCACTGCTGCCTGTAGAAGCAAGGACGCTCGTTTTGATTCAAAGCTCCAGTGCTAATTCAAGATGGTAGTTCACATTGCCTTCTGTACTTGTGCTGTTCTACCTGTAAAAGGGAAGTGCTAATAACCCTGACTTGCAGCCAGAGATTTTGTAAAGATCAGTTGGCATTTTTGGCACATTAGCAATTATTCTTTCTTAAAAATAAAAATATTTTAGTAGAAGTGAAATACAATCCTTGTAAGTTTAGTGTCTTAAAATATATTATTGAATCTCAGTTGGAGGAAATGTAGCTGATAAACATTAACAGACCACAAAATAAGGCCTATTAAGGATTTTTGCTTCAGTTTGTATTGGTTAATTATTAGGCAGCGCCCCTCCCTTCTTACCATCACTCAAATAATTGGGCAGCAGCAGGGTATCAATATTATAAGGTAATGCCATGGCACTAAGCTTTGTTTTGCTGAAAAAGGGAGAGCACAGCCATGCCAAGCCATGCCAGTCCCTGCAGTGGGGACTGAAAGCAGCTGAGGTGACAGCAGAGGAGAGAGATTTCAGTTCCTTTTCTGCACAGCTTGTGCTTCCTTGCTGCGTGTGAGAACTGTTATGCACGCAGGTAAACCCAGATACCAAACCATGGCTAAGATATTAAGGAAAAGTTTATTCCAAAGTTGGAAACCCTAAGTACACCGCTAAAATCACACAGTGGGTGAAAGAACACCCCAGGCCTGTTTTCTGGTGCTTTTATAACAATAACTTTCGCATGCACATAACTTCAAGACTGTGTTCTCCCCTGTTCTTTTATGGATCCTCTTTCTCTCAGCAAGGACCTCACAGCGTATTATCTTTACACAGGAATCCTAATTCTCAAAACAGGCAGATAATAAACATGCATGGGTGTAATAAATGGGATTTTCCTGTACTGATCTTTTCCCAGGCCTAGTTTTCCTAGCAGTGAAGACTTCCTTGAGCAAGAACTCTTTATCCTCCTCAAATAAATCTTCTGCATATACCTTCCTGTCCCTACACCACAGATGCTGTTACCCGCAGTGCAGGCTGCATAGTGGGCATTAAACACTGCCTTTAATTTCTGGCAGCACATTATTGTGGCTAGGATGATGAGAGACCAGAAGATCATACAATTTTTGTTAAATAACAGCATCAATCTTTCATTTCCCTATGCTCTGTAGAGGAAGACTGTGCAGAAACTCTGTGTGTATCACACCTGAGAATGGTTTAAATGGGTGAAATTTTGTTAAGACAGACTTAATTTTTGCTGTTAGTGAAAAAATAAATAACATTGATAAAGAATTGAAATCAAGGCAGAACTTATATTCGATAAAAGTATGAAAGTGGCGTAGACTGCACTAGAAAAATAAATTCTCTCTGTTCTTCTGTGTGAACTGGGAATTTTGTCTTTATTAGAGAGGATCCAAAATTAGTGAACAAGGGTGGTGAGTGATACTGTTGACTTTATTTTATATTGTCTTTTACATTTTGATTAATATTTAATTTTTTTACTTCTGACAATCATTTGTTGTTATGCTATCGTTTTGCTTTTGTAGGTTTTTTTTATAATCTTCAAATACAGTGTCTTCGTGAACTTGCTTAGGAGCAATTCAAACACTTAGTGGAGATTTTCTTTATGGTGATTTTAGGCCACTGTTTAGTTAACATACATTTTCTTAGTGTGAACTGGAACATCTCAATGACCTTAAGGATTTTTTCCAACCTGAATGATTCTATGAAACACTGAATGTTGCTTAGAGCATGAGTAGGGATTGTGCTGTCTTTATTGACCTTGACCTAACTCTTTGTGATCTGAACTTCTCTGTGCCACTAACTTCCTTTTTTGTAACTGTTTCAGAGTCGGTTCCCTTTTCTGTATTCCTGAAAGAGCTCTGTGAAAAGCCTCATGTGACAAATCAGCATGTTTCTGACTCTGTTTCCCAGAGTTTATTTAGCTTTGAAGCTGTTATCTAAATCCATTGAAGTTCCTTCAGTGTTTTTAACATATTAATTCTGTTTAATTCTCTGTGTCTTTGGAATGCTTCTTTCAAAAGCACCTGTAGTTTTTCTAAACTGATTTTTCAGAACTTTGCCATTAAGACATTCAGGGCCTCTGTATCACCCTGGATAGCTTGTAACATACTTTGTAAGGTCTCTTTTTACCAAGAAGAATTCTTGTGTGTCACAGATTCCTTTGCACCTGTTGGAAATCTGTAGGAAAATTCCAGCAGATTCTCATATTTTCATTCAGGCTTGACTCTACTGGGGGCTGGTATGAGAGGAGGTGGGGAGCAGAAGGGCAGGAAGTGAGGTTTGCAGCTGCCTGACTGGGCCCTGCAGTGTCTCACTGAATCCCATTGCAGAGAGAAATGGGCTGGCAGGGATGTCATGGTGGAGTCCAGGATGGCCTTGACCTGACAAGTTAGCAGAACTGCTGTGCTCAGTGGAAGGATGGGGAAGAAACTTGTACAGCTTTTTAGTCGCAAATTCTCTATGCAAAATCTTTACATGAGATATGGTGTTAATTTGGATTCACAGTACTTATGTTTTATGAACATATTTACATGAAACCTTGTTTTTTGTGTGGAATAAGTGGGGGAGCTGACTTTGTTAAGTCTTGTGAAAGAGAAGCCTGAGATGGTACAGTCTTTAGATATAAAAATATTCTTGAATAAGAGGTATGTCTTACACTTCTAGGGTATATGGGACAAGAAATAATATATCTTTAAAATGTTATGTGAAACAGTCAGGTTATACATTAGACAAAACTTTACAGAGGACAGTGAAAGACTGGAATAAATGTCCTCAGCAAAATACAGGGTCCATATCATTGAAAAGTTTCAAGCATTGTTCATCAGCCATCAGTCAGGAATCATTACAGTTGGACTCAATAATCTTAAGGGTCTTTTCAAATCTAAATGATTCCATGATTTGGTTAGAGTTGCTTTTGAGAGGAGGGGAAGAGAACCTATATGACCTGCTAAAATCCCTTATGGCCCTTTCTTTTGTGCCTGAAAATCACTGGCCTAATGTATTGACTATTGAAGGTGGGAAGTTTTTGCCCATTTGAAAGGTTCTCTTGATGGTGAAGTAAGCAGCTCGCTTCTGTGAATGACCTTTACCATTACAAACAGCCTCTTTGATTCCAGTTGCTGCACTTAAATGAGAGAAACGGTGTATATCAGGGTGGAACACCAGAGCACAGTGGCTCAGTGTCAGTGTCAGCTTTTGCTTTCTAATACACTTTTTAGATATTAGGTGAACTACCTTTTTTAAGTGTTTGATTTCTTGTTTGTTTTTTTCTTTTTTTCTTTTTTATTTCAGTTAGAGTGTTGAAACTCACTGTTTAAGTGGTGTTTGTGTGTTTTTTCCTTTCTTTGTGTTTAGTTTTCTCCAGCTCATAGTACTGTCTTCAGCCTACTCATACAAATGTCTTTATGTGAAATTCTTGGCTGTGCAGAAACCCTGATGAGATCAGTGTAGTGCTGAGCAGTTATGCATATGCTACAGTAGATCTTTGCCCCAAGTGGGAATTCTACCTTTGCCCCTAAATTTTCTCTTGCCTTGGCTCTAATCGGGACTATCTCTGCAGATAGCAGCAAAGCTTCTGTTACTTGATTACAACGAACCTGTAACCTTTAGTCTTACAGCTTGAAGCCACTCCCTATTATCTTGTATTTACGTGCCTTTGTAAAAAGTCCCTCTCCAGCTCTCTTCTAGCCAGTCTCCTTTAGGTACTGAAAGGGAGCATACAGGAAAGACTACAGACTAATATGGTCTTGCATCAAACTTCAGTGAAAAGACGTTGTACAGCTAACAGATATAAAGCATTCTACTTTCTGGGAAGGAAAAGGGGCTTTGTTTTCTGAAGTGAGTGGAAAACTCTTGTTTTAGCAATCACAAAGGAGTCAGAGCTTTCTGCTATACGAATGCTGAACAGACATTGTTAAAACCTAAAGTTACACTAGAAAAAAATCATGGAACACAAATTGCAAATAGTTGTACCTGCTTTAAAGTTCATTAACTTCTCCACTGAGCTTTTGGATAAAGCTAGAATTTTATAATAAAATTCTTAATTTCATTTCTATCTGTCTGATATTTTTTTTCTAGAGATGGAGAGGAAACAGACTTGATCCTGTAAAACCTTTTTCCTGTTCTACACTGGTACAGAACAGACACTTCTGAAAGATTTAACTGGAACTAGAATAATGAATACACCAACACACGGGGTATTTATTGAGGTTTTTTTAAGAACTCAAATCCCAGCTTTGAATCCCAACAATGTGAAATAGAAATATAAATGTAACATTTCTCACATCCAAACAGGTGTGCTGAGCTTGGTCTGTAATGTGTGTCTTTCTTATATGGGTCAGAGTGAGCATTCAATTGTACATACAAAAGACACTACTCCCAGACTACTGAGGTCAGGAACTTATGTGGAGCCTTAGGTTCAATTCCCTGTGCCAAGCCTTGTCATACATGCAATTTGCACTTTCATCTGTCTTATCATTGATGCTACAGATTGTCAGTGTATTCTGAAATTAAGGCCTCTCCCTTTTGGTTTGATCAGAAAATCTTCCTTGAACCTGAGTAACCTTTCTTAGCAAAAATTTATTTTTCTTCAAGAAATTTCAATAACCTGACACTTCCCAAGAGCAAAGGTATTTCCTTAAGAATTTTTTTATAATTTTCTAAGTCAAGTTGGTCCTGATCAGTTTTCTCTTCACAGCTGGTTCCTTAGTGTCTTCAGTTCTAACTTTGTCATTTAGTAGTAATAGATGTTATTTTTTTTCTCCTGAAGCCTAGGATAAAGTTATTACAGGAAAGAAACTTTCAAGTCCTGCATGGATTTTAGAGTTCTGTGCTCTATTCCCTCCTCTCTGATACTCTGTTCCATCCATGCTTCCCAAGGGTTCTTGTTTGTATGCCTGCAGCATCTTTGTGAAACATGAAAGTGCTACTCTTCCCATTCTGCAAATGGAGAAAAGAAATAAAGAACTTCAGCAAGTACTTTTATTGTAGGTGAAACGAGCAGAGGTGATCACTGACCTCATGAGTCAGGTAATCACCTCCATGCAATGATATGTGAACACACCAGCACTGACTCTGGTTCATACAGGTGCAGCAGTACTGTGCCATGTGTGTTCCCTGGCTTGAGAATCTGCAGCTCAGAGCACTCTGCATTGTTCTCTGCTGTGAGGTGAAATATGCCCTGAATGACTTGTCCAAGATCACACAGGAAGACACTGGCAGAACAGGAACATAATGTGAGTTTTCTCTTAAGCAGCAAGCACACCTGCTTTAATTTTGTTTCTAGGCTACATAAATTTTAAGTGAATAAAAATTATGTGCATATGGAAAAACTTCTTCCATATTTTTTTGAAAGTAGGTTAATTCCTATAATAAGATAGGCTTGGAGAGGATTGATTTTGCAATAGGATTAGTTATGCTAAGGAAACTGTTTTTTGCATTGGGAAATGCAAATAAAATTTTGATAGATCAGACTTCCGTCTTGGTTTGCTTTACTGAAGTTAGAGTAGGAATGCATCCATCAGTAGGACTGTATCGATCTGTCCTATTGTGTCATAGACTGGAAGGAATGTAGGAATTTATTAATATTCTTCTAATACATCAAAGAATGTATTAGAAGAATATTAATAAAAGGTTTAATGAAAAAAGGGGTTTATTACTATTAAGAAATGGTGCATTCTTTTTGTCAGTGTTAATCTGGTTCTTGATTCCCCCCTCCCCCCTCTTTGCTGTTACTACTTCATGGTCCTGTTGTGCCCAACTTACTGTGCTACATGTTCCCTGGTTTGCTGAAACCTGATAATCTAGTAATTATGCTTTCACACTCACTAATTAATTTCATTTTTTGTAGGTATCCTATGGAACATGCTTGATGACACACAGTGACATCTGTTCATACAGAGGAGAGATTTCATCACTGCAGATCTTGGAGGTAGGTTTGGGGTTACATGGAAGTTAAGGTGTAGTACAAAGAGCTGATTATTTTTTTAGCTGTCTGTGGACTGACAAGGTGCATTATCTAAGGGAATATCTTATAAGATATATGGAGAGGGATGGCAGGTAAGTTGGCTTCATTGGGGTAGGGGTGTGGTGTGTGCCCAGCTTAAATGTCTGTATGCAATTGCACACAGTGTGGGGAATAAACAAGAGGAATTAGAGATGTGCACATGCCTGCAGGGCTATGATCTTATTGTCCTCACAGAGGTGTGGTGGGATGAATCCTCTGACTGGAGTGTTGGAGTGGAAGGATACAGGCTTTTTAGGAAGGACAGGCAGGGGAGACAAGGAATTGATGTTGCCCTCCATGTCAACGACCAGCTGGAGTGCATGGAGGTCATCTTGGGAATAGATGAGGCGGTAACTGAGAGCTTATGGGTCAGGATTACACGGAGGGTAGGGACAGGTGACATTATAGTGGGGATCTGCTACAGACTACCCAACCAGGAAGACCGAGCAGATAAGAGCAGCCTCACGTTCACAAGCCCTGGTTCTCATGAAGGACTTCAACTACCCTAACATCTATTGGAGGGACAACACAGGCAAGGCTTAAACAATCCAGAAGGTTCTCAGAATGCATTGGTGATCACTTCCTTCTCTAAGTGATAGAGGAGCCAATGGGGAGAGGTGTTATGCTGGACCTTGTGCTCAGTAACAAGGAGGGCTGGTGGGGAAGGTGCAGCTCAAGGGCAGCTGGGCTGCAGTGACCATGGAATGGTGGAGTTCAAGATCCTTGCGGCAGCAAGGAGGGCATACAGCAAGCTTACTACCCTGGGCTTCAGGAGAGCAGACTTTGGCCTCTTCAGGGGTCCACTTGGTAGAGTACCGTGGGATAAAGCCATAGAGGGAAGAGAGTACCAAGAAAGATGGTTGATTTTCAAGGACCACCTCCTCCAAGCATCCCAACAAAGAGGAGGTTGGGCAAAAATGCCAGGAGGCCTGCATGGATGAGTAAGGAGCCCCTAGACAAACTCAAACACAAAAAGAAAGCCTATAGAGGGTGAAAGCAGGGGCAGAGAGGAATACAGAGAAGTTGTCTGAGCAGCCAGGGATCTGGTTAGTAAAGCTAAAGCCCCTGATAGAATTAAATCTGCCCAAGGATATCAGGAACAGCAAGGAAAGCTTCTATAGATCCACTGGCAGTAAAAGAAAGATAAGGGAAAACATGGGCCCTTTCTGGAACGGCGCAGGAGACCTGGTTATAAGGGTCCAGAAAGCTAAGATGATCCCAGATATGGAGGTAGAAACTGGAATACTTCATTGAACACGTGAGTGCAGTTTAAGGGTCTTGGGGGCTGGATGAGTTATGTTAATTAGGGGATGGCTTTATGTTAACTAGAGGATTACACAGGTTTCTGCTACAGTTAGACAATTGATTAATATTTCCCTTAACCAGGACTACATGGGGGGAAGAAAACAAAGGGGTTTCAACACAGTTTGATAACTTCATCTCAAAGTCTTTCCTTATCCTGCTGCAGGAGCCAGGTTAATCCACATGGTTGTACATCAGCAGGTCTTGTGAGGAAGGTCCACTCTTTCAGATTCAGGGATTTCTCTCAGCCTCTGTTGCCCAAGGTTTACTGCATAGACCCACCAAGCTCCTTTCTGCTGACAGCTGGGTTTCAGCTCCTACACCTGGTTACCCAGAACAATGAGAAAGCTGAGGTATTCAACAGATTTTTTTTTTTCCTTAGTCTTCCCTGGCAAGTGCTCCAGCCATACCACCCAAGTGACAGACGACAAAGGCAGGGACTGAGAGAATGCAGAACCACCCACTGTACAAGAAGATCAGGTTCAAGAACAACTAAGGCATCTGAAGGTGTACAAGTTCATGGGACCTGATAACATACATGCGTGGGTCCTGAGGGAACTGGTGGAGGAAGTGACTAAGCTGCTATTCATCATATTTGAGAAGTCATGGCAGTCTGGTGAAGTTCCCACTGACTAGAAAAGGGGAAATACAACCCCCGTTTTAAGAAGGAAATAAGAAAGACCCAGGGAAATAAAGACTGGTCACTATCACTTCATTGTCAGGAAAGACAATGGAGCAGATCCTTCTGGAAACTATGATAAAGCACATGGAAAATAGGGAGGTGATTGGTGACAGCCAACATGGGAATCAAATCGTACCTGACAAATTGGTGGCTTTGTATGACAGGTTTACAGTGATGGTGGATGAGGGAAGAGTTACTGGCATCATCTACATGGACTGGTGTAAGACATATGACACTGTCTGGCACAGTGTCACACATCATTGTCTCTAAACTGGAGAAACATGGATTTGATAGGTAGATCACTTGGTGGATGAGGAGTTGACTGGATGGTTGCACTCAAAGAGTTGTGGTCAAAGTTCAATGTCCAAGTGGAGACCAGCAATGAGTGTTATTCCTCAGGGGTCTGTATTTGGACTGGCACTGTTTAACATCTTTGTCACTGACATGGACAGTGGTGTTGAGTGCACTCTCAGCAAGTTGGCCGATGATATCAAGTTGTGTGATGCAGTCAACACCCAGGAGGGAAGGGATGCCATCCAGAGAGACCTTGGCAGACTTGAGAGGCAGACCTGTGTGAACCTCATGAAGTTCCACAAAGCCAAGTGCAAGGACCTGCATGTGGATTGGGGTAATTCCAAACACAAATACAGGCTGATGGAAGAATGGATTGAAAGCAACCTAGAGGAGGACTTGGGGTGTTGATGAATGAGAAGCTTGACATGACCCAGCAATGTGCACTTTCAGCCCAGAAAGCCAACTGTGTCCTGTGCTGCATTAAAAGCAGCATGGCCAGCAGGTTGAGGGAGGTGATTTTACCCCTTTACTCTGCTCTGGTAAGATCCCACTTGAAGTAATGCATCCATCTCTGGGGCCCCCAACATAAGAAGGGTGTGAACATGTTGAAGTAAGTCCAGCGGAGGCCACAAAGATGATCAGAGGTTTCTGAAGGCTGAGAGAGCTGGGGCTGTAGAGCCTGGAGAAGGCTCTGGGGAGAACTCCTAGCAGCATTCCAGCACCTAAAGGGAGACTAGAAGAGAGCTGGAGAGGGACTTTTTACAAGGGTGTGTAGTGATAGGATAAGGGGGAATGACTTCAGACTGAAAGAGGGTAGTTTTAGATTGGATATTAGGAAAAAAGTCTTTACTATGAGAGTGGTGAGGCACCGTAACAGAGAAGTTGTGGATGCCCCATGCCTGGAAGTGTTCACGGCCAGGTTGGATGGGGCTCTGACCAACTTGTTCTAGTGGAAGGTGTCCCTGCCATGGTGATGGGTCAGAACTAGATGATCTCTAAGGTCCTTTCCAACCCAAACCATTCTATGATAAGGAATATGCTGCAGGGATAAAGGCTCACACTCTGGGAGTATAATGGATTTTGCAGAGGCTTGAGAGATGTTACTTTCCACCCAAGTTGTTCACTTTATACTGTTTGAGTTGGAAATTATTTGGACTGTTAATAAGTCTGTGATCTGTATACTCTCTCCAACTGGAGGTAGTGATGAATCTAAGTTTCAGCTCCAGAACACCTTGAGTGTGAGTATTTGAAAGCTACTTCATGCTTACGAAGAGGCTGTGTTTGGGAAAAACTTTGTGCCCTATTTGACAATTTGTCTATTTTTCCGTCGTGATTATTTAGCTTTTTTTTCCCGGGAGAATTTACCGTGGTCGTGGACATGAAACTGAAATGGGATGAGTGACATCTAGTGGTCAGGAATGAAAATGTGCAGGATCACATGATTTTCCCATAGGACAATGAAAAGTAAAACAATTCCTAAAAAATGGCCTGAGATTAACTTAGAATCTACAAAATTTAGAGATAAATTCCCATCACTGCAACTTCTGTCAGCCTCTGTAAGCAGTAACTTTCCTGCTTGATGTCCAATGCCAAGGCATGAATTTGATATCTGGTGCCAAGGCCTGGTTATCCTCAACACACTCTGATGTCTTCTTGTGTCTCTGTCCCATTTCATTGTTTGCTTGTTTTTAGGAATATTTTTACATGGCTCTCCCTTTGCCACAACCAGAATGACTTTAGGATCATGTAATTTTGTGATTATTACTTTTTTTTAGGCCATTGGAGGGAGGTCATCTCATGAATAGCTTTCTCACTTGTGAGAAAGTGATCAACTGTTTTATAATGCTGAGAACCCAACTCTCTTATTTGTTGCTCTCAGTGTTAGAAGACACTGTTCACAGTTCACTTCCACTGTTCACGGTTGACACTGTTCACTGTTCACTTCCACTGGAAGGATTCTAGTCCAGGACTGGACTTCCAACATCCAGACCAGGTCTCTGCTATCTCAGGGCAACCTTGCTGAATGGATTCTGTCTAAGGGTACTGAGTGGGTTACACCTGTATGATGCTTAGTGGAGGAAATGGGTGGCTTTAATAGGTTCTTTCCTGTTGTAATTTCCAATGACTCTTTTTCTAAGCAACTGGACCAGTGTAACTAATCTTGCTATCAAGTAAATACTTTGGGACAAATTTCAGCTGTCCAATTGCCATTGAAGCAGGAGCTAGATAAAATCTCTGTCACTCTAGGGCAGTGCTTGGCTTCTTGTGTTATACAACACTATGATTTCTGGTTAAATTTGGAATGCTGAGAAATGAGCTAGTGTATGGTCATATTTTTTTAGATTTTGGTGATGAAAAATGTTGTGCCTTTCTACTGGCCTGGTAGGCTTCAGAGAAAGTGGAAACAGATGTTTCCTCAGATCTGAGAAAGGAGTGGGCTCCACTGAAATTAGATCAGTCTTTCTTGTCTGGCTTCCTGGGAAGTCACAGGCATATTCAGAAATCCCCCTGCTGACCGATTATATGAAGTTGGGTAAGTCATTTGATTAGGTTTAGACAAGCGACCACTGCAATTGAGCCAGTAATTAAAGTAATCTGGCAAATTCTGTGCTCCAGAAGGCTTTGGGCTGGATAGTATATAAATACATATGTGATTATGAAAAATTTTGGAAAAAGAGGTGACTAGGACCAGCAGTAGATATGTCAATCCTTCTGGTCTCATGATTCTTTGACAGGGCCTTGCATACATCCAGATGACTCTGCCCAGCTCTATTTTCTTTCTGTTCTTCAGGGGTGCAGAAATGGAGAGAGGAAGATAAAGGGATATGTGGCACATATGCTCTGTGTTAGTAACATGTCTGTCACAGCTGTGGGATCTGAAAAGAAAAGGAAGGAAGCAGGTGAAATCTGTTGTGCTCGGGGGAGGGCAGCATGTGTTTGAGTGCTAGCAAATGACAGATTTTTCCTTTAAAATTCTGTGTTCTAATACTGTGAGAAAGAGACAGGCATGTAATTGTTAAATACCTCCTTTATGAAGCCATAACTTGAGCTTGTTTTGTTGCAAGTTTTGTGGAGAAGTTCATACTATAACAGGGACAAAGCCTGGTGACATCATAGAGTTCTTCCAGAGTGGGAGTGTTACAGACAGGAGCTGCGCATAGGGGGGAACAGCAAGGAACTTTTCCAAAAACTTCAGTCGTTACAGCTACTGGCGTGTGACAGAAACAATTCTGAATTTAGCTTCAATGCTCTAAAGGGCAGAAGAAGTTCTTCAATATGTATGCCTATTGCATTATAACTTCTGCACATGTTTTTAAAGTATATGTGGTCTGGCAGCAATTATAGGTGAAGCCATGCCAGCTGCCTCTCCTGCAATGAGTTCATCTTCTTGGGCCTATAGTGTCATTGACTTTCTCCTGCTGTGGCTTCATGCACAAAAGTGTAAGAAATGCCTTATTGTGTCAAATCTATGGCCCACCTAGACTAGTATTTCCTTTTGCCTTGGAAAGTAACATCAAGTGATACTGTATGGAGCTAGGATGATCCTTGGCCATTCGTGTTGTACATCCCTCTCATTCTGCCCTAGAGTCCAAAGTCACTGAATTAAGATCTCTGGGAGGTACACTTGTGGCCATTCCTGTACCTGTTTTGGAACAGCTGTCCATAAATAAGTTCTCTTTTTATAGCCTGCACTTTTTGTGTAGCCTGCTGATATTATTGGTCTCCTCAGTCTCACATCACCAGAATTTCACTACAGCTATGTTTGCAAAATAAAATTATTGCTTTTGTTTGTTCGAAACCTGTCTTTCACATAGTTTGAGTGAGAGCCCATAGTTCTGGTGTTGCAAGGTTTGGTGAGTAACAGTCCTGCTCTCGTGTTCTTGACTGCCTTCATGATTTTGTAATTCTCAGTTGTATCCCTCTCAGCCTGCATGTCTCCAAATTAAAGAAAGAAATCTCTCCTCATAATGCAGCTGCTCCATCCCCTAAATTCCTGTTGTACAATTTTTGTGCTTGCATGAAACACAAGTACTTGAATGCAGATACAAGTCAGTCTCTCAGTAGCTACATTTCCCAGCTGTCTGTCACAAGGCAGAGTTGACTGCCCTGTTAAAACAGTCAGTGTTCACAGCATAACTCTTTTTTGAGCACCTTCTATCTGACCTTTTTTAAAGCTGTAGCAAGCAAATTCCAAGAACACTTGTGGGATGAACTGCAGCAGCTTTCTCTATTTGTGGGTGGATACTGCCCAATTTGCAGCTATCCCTATGGATGTCTAGCTTTTTCTTGGCCTGAAACCAGCTGTTAAAAAGGGGCAGATCCTCACTAGTTGCTTGTGGAGTTTCTGGTCATTTGGGTTGCAGTGCTGGCTGGACTCCCATTTGTACTTTTTGTAGTGGTTCCTGCCTTTCTCAGTGCTGAACAAGTAAAGTCATTTTTACTTCTTTTTATTTAGTACACTTGCTGTATGTGATGGGATACCCACACTGAGAATGTGGTCAACTGCAGGGGAGATACAGGTAGCAGCCAGACTTGGAAGCACTTACACTGATTTTGGCTGGGACACTGATGAGCTCTATCTTGAGAAGTGAATCTTTAGAGGAAGTTGATGCTGCAGGCAGAATCTATTAGTTCACTGGCCTCTAAAAAGAGTGGAAGTTAAATGCCAGTGATGTGGTTATGATAAAATGGGTTCTTATATGTTATCATTCTTGATTTCTGGCAGCTTATTCTATATTAAGTTGTCTTGGTTTATTGAAAATAAGTTGTTTTTAATCAATTTTAATAAATGGGTGAGATTTCTTTTTTGGATGACTGAGTAGCTCTTTTTGGGACCCATGTTGAACAAAGGTCCTTTTCTCAATTTTAGGTCCTGTAACTGATTTGACTGGATAGCGAAGGGAAGGCTGAAATGTTTAATTTTATTATACTGTTAGGAATCAAAGGGTGTAAAACCGAAGATTCCTAAAACTAATGGCTGACCTAACTAAACAGGTATGACTAGTCTGGTAAGCAGAAGACTGCAAATGGAAATTTGCTGTATTTTTTTTCTCTTTTAGAAAAGTAAAGATTTAAAAAATGGTATGAGAGCTAGTGTTCCTTTTAGATATTAATAAAAATCACTGAATGTGTCCACTACTCTCCTCTTATTGTTGATTTTGCCATATTTGTGTGGGAATAGTGTGAACTACAACATTTTGCGTTGCAATCACCCTAATTGTGTAAGTCATGAGGCACATTTCCCCTATCACATTTTATAAACACAGTCCTATGAAACCTGCAGCACCTAGATACATTCTGTATTGGAATGTCCTTCTGTCTCTTAATAAGAATAATACTCCCCAGAGTCAATCTCCCACATCTCTAGCTGCTGCATTCTCACTGCCAAGAATGTAATCTTGTTCAGCCTTTGCACCAAATGGTATCCTGGAAGCTTCATAGGTCAAACTAAGAAATTACTACATGCCAGAATAAACTCTCACAGACAACTAGTAAAGAATAAACACAAGCACAGTTCCTTTACTCCTGATCTCACATT